GTTGCAAAAAAGTACAAACAGATTGTTTGAACATTTAAAAAAACTCATTATGATAACTCAAATAAATAAAAATGAACAAAATATTCAAATAAATWAATWAAAATWAAAATAGATATACCAAGTATATAAGTCACAATAAGAAAAATAAATAGCGGAATGAAAACAGGATTATAACTATAAACTAATCTAATCGTTATATTTATCTAAAGCGTAATTTATATCTTCAGGACTGACGTTGAGTGACACTCTACGGAATATGTCCCAACGTTTCTTCTCCAAAAATATAAGGCCACTGTCTCTTAATTGGTATGCTATCATAAGCACTTGTTGCTCATTTGGCAAATCTTCACCTGGTACATATTAAATTTAAAAAGTTAGGTTAGGTTAGGTTTAAGACATAAACTATAATCAAAGCATAAAAATAAAAATGTACCTTCAAGCAAGCAAATGCTTTTCAGTTGTGTATAAACCGAGTCAATAGTACTATGTTCAATACCTGTACTAGATGTAACATTCCCAAGAGCCCTGAGAAAAAATTTTTCAAAGAGACAACAGTGCCTGTAAAAAAATTTTAATTTAATATTAATCTATAAAAAGTAATACATTTTTTCTTATAGTGTAAATTCTTTTACCCTCTTTTATCAATTAAAACATTTAATCAAAACATATAATAAGATGAATTAATTTTTTTTTCTTAATACATAATGAGGAATTATAAAAACATTTTTCGTAATTCTTTTGGTTCAATTATAATTAATTRTTCAGTCCTATTATTTAACTATGATTTTTAATGTTTATTTCTAAWTGTTTGAATTCTTGAATTTAGCAAACTTCTCGTATTATTTGCTACTAATAAATAAAAATATATGAAGAAAAAAATTTACAACATCTTAAATATCTATCATTGAGAATAATTGGATTGATTAAAAACTTTCTTAAGTTTTTTTACGTACCTACATCAGAAAGTTTTTTAATAGATACCCTAAGCTTTCTACAAAAAATAAATGTACATGTAAAGACTCAAATAATAAATTAAATTATAGATAAATAGAAATAATTGCATTTATCCTGTAAAATAAAATAAGTAAAACTATCAGTAAGAAAGTGAGATCTGTGGATTTACAACAATGTGGATTAACATCACAAATAAACTCTTTACAWGAGTATTTAATTTTAGAAAACAATATTAAATTATTTAAGTGATCAAATTATATAAAAATAGTAAAGTATGTAATTTTCAAAGATATTAACTGCCCACTGGTAAAATTTTTACTGATTAATGATGTTAAATTCCTATAGAAATATTATTCCACAAMATGTAAAACAATATTATACCTGATAGCTGTTACACGAACACCAGAAAGTATTGCATTTAACACTTGAGTAACATGGTCCATGGTTATTAATTGTGAATCATCTTCAGACTTGACTAAATCAATAGCACGACGACATATGTCCAGAGCCCGCCTTGCATCGCCTGATATCGCTGCTACTTTTCTAATATGGGAATAAAACATGTTTTCAAATCAAATATTCAAATTGTAGTAAACTCAGTACCTTGCTACCAATTGAACTGCGTCTGGATCAAATGAAGAATTACCGATCAATCTATTCATGATTATTTCTTGTAACTGCTGGAATGTGTATGGCTTGAATACTAATCTGGTCAATCCCTAAAAACATATTGAAATAATAAACCTCTATTAACTATCAATAATTTAACTAGGTAATAATGTATCTATTATCTACCATTCTACTAGTTACACATCCTCGTAATACTCGTTCGGGCAAATCCATAGTATTAGCAATTGTTATTACAACCACTTTTGAACCAATTTGACTAGGCCAATCAAGTATATTATACACAACATCTTGTTTACGATTACAAATATGGTCCACCTGACAAATATTAAAGGTCAATAGTTTAAAAAAATGATCAGTTCAGTACTTAAATAGTTAATTATAATAAATTACTTCATCAACTAATAAAATTGTAGATAACTCTTTAACTTTTTTGTTAGAAAAATGGTCATTAAGAAGTGTTTGAGCTCGGGAAGATGATACTGTTTCTTTAGTTAACTCTTTCCATATAACTGAAAATGCTTGATGTGGATTGGCAAGCCTTAAGCCATTTATTTCAACAAACTAAGTAATAAATTTATTTATAATGACTTTCAAAACTCATATAGAAAAAAATTATTAAAACATATATTAAATTAAAAATTACTTTAAAACTGTGTTTCATTAATAAATCAGCATTTAGTGAATCTATTACTCTTTTAACTGTAGCCGTTTTTCCAGTACCAGGAACACCACTGATATACATACTTCTGAAAAATAATCATGTAAATCAATAATTAAAGACTAAAAAGTATTTAGTAAGCAATGTAATATTAATTGCATTAATTTACCCTGTTAACTCTTCATTAATTTTTCTAACTAAAAAAGAATGTATAGATTTATATTCAACTTCACGACATGGTAAATGTTTAGGAGCAGCATGTAAATGTAAATTTGCTCTTGCTTTTTCTAAAGGACTACATGGAACCTTTGCTCCACTATCCAATCTTTTACTAGCTGAAGCTGTTAAGTTTCTAACGTGTGTCTAAAATAACATGGTATTAAAATAAAAAACAAGTATTTATAAAGAAATATCGATAAATTATTAGCATGTTTATAAAAAAAATAATTATTGAAATATTTGGTATTTGTATAATGCGCTACCCACTACAAACCCATACAACATTAAGTAATCTAGTATAGCTATATTTTTAAATGTAAACATGAAATTATAAATTATAAATATAAGCTAATCATAGTATCAGTATAAATTGATCATTGATCTGAWAATAATATGTTATAATTATAATAAGAATGCAAATATGAATTAGTAGGTAACATATTAAACAAGATTTATTTCTCTGGTAGGTACTAATCTAGTACCAAATCCTTTATAATTACTTTGGGAGTTTTTCTTGGTGTTTTTGGYGTAGAAATCTCAATTTCTTTATTTTCTGGTATATCTCGTAGGATACTTCGACGCACTTTTGACCCAGAACGAGAAGTGACAGATTGTCTTAAATGTTTCTGAAGTTTTTGGAGAAAATWACTGAATATTAATTATAATTAACATGATGTTTAATTATTAAGCAATGTTAAT